ATATATATATGTATATTAGCATTATATCTTTTATATTACTGTGCATCGCAAACTTAACTAACGTATTATTACCGCATTGATTCCTTTTTCCATGTGAGAGTATATTTCTTATTATTCCTTTCATTCCTTCGTGATTCCTCGATAAATTGCTATCCTGACGTGACCTTTCTTATTTCCTGACCTAGGAACCTTGACCCAGACTTTCTCTCATGACAATCGATCAATCAAATTATAAACTACTGATGAACGACGATACTGATTAATTGCATGATTTTGAAAATTGTATGATAATTAATTGCTATTTTTACATCGCGAAAGATTATCCGTATCCAGTGTACGCGACGATACCCAGCTTGTAAACTGTTAACTCAGCCGATCACTCCGAATCATCGGACGTAATGCCAACAAAGCAGAATTATAAATTTTTGCGCTGAAAACCCGCTTCCATCCATTGATTTCGCTTTACGACACGTGTCGCGTATAATTAAGTATTGCACGCGTAACAAGTAATTGCAAATTAAATTGATAGTAGAATTTAATCCATTTTATAAATTGAACGATTCGATTGCGAAAGAGATACTCAATTATACGACTCAGTTCCTCAAGGTTTAAGAATTACAGATTCCCGTATTTGCCATTGCAATTAATAATTCTCGGTCGAACGATAATCCCGCCGATTATTACCGTGCCGTTGAAAAGTGTTTCCCTATTAGAGGTGGCCTCTTACGTCGCTAACGTATTACATCCATCCGGCGTAAGATCGATCGAGACACATTATGCGGCGGTAAATTGAAGTTCAATACGGTCACGATGGAATCACTCGGCGAAATGCGCGCTTTTGCCGCGTTATAATCTGTCTTTTTGCCGCGCGCAGTTTCATTTCCTCTTTCTCTGATCGATGTCGATCATTTCGACTTTAATACTCGACGGTACTTTCTGAGTTTCACCCACCCCATTTTATGGAGGAAGGAATCTGCTAAAAGAAAAATGATTTCGATTCTGTCTATAGAAGGAACTTCTCTGCCTTACTTACGAGAAAAGTCCAGAGGTATTTTCTTTCTAACTCATACCATCTCTTTCTTCTGCTTCCAGGTGCCCCATGGACTAAGGCAACGTCTCTGGAAGAAACGTGCGAGTAGATTACGCAGATTGTCTCGGAAAGTTTCGCGGAAGATTCGGTGAAGTAATGTGCGCGGTAACGATATAAAGGAAAATGTGATACAGTCGGTGATTGTGCGGTAGCGTTGACGCAGAGAAAAAGAGAGAGAAACAATCTGTATAATAGAAACCGTGACAGGAACAAAGAGAAGAAGAGAAGGAAAGAAGTAGAGATAAAGAGAGAAAGAGGAATATTACATAGAGAAGTGAAATACAAGGAAAAAAAAAAGTCTCGCGATCGATCGCATCCGATCAGGTTAAAACGTCTCTCCCGGTCGATCGTTTTCTCCGTGGAAGGTACGTTAGAGAATCGTCTTCTATTCCCGCCGTCTCCTCACCCCTCGAACTCGAATCTCGATAGATCGCCTCGACGCGGCGGCCGATGCGCCTCCTGCCTACTTTCTATCGCCCTGAAAACATATCCCGGAGGTACACCGCCTCGGTAAAATCCTCCGAGAAACGAGTTTTACGGCCGATTCTCTCACGGCGAAACGCGACGAAACGAGCGTAATTACGCGAGGATAGTACAGCGCGCGCGATCTACTCTCGCGCCCCGTCTTCCTTTTTTCCTTCGGCCCCTTTCTTTCTTCGCCGATTAGAGGTGGAGGAGGAGTAAGACTCGGAAAACGGGAACGCCGGGAGTGCCGTTTAATCGGTGAACAATCGATCGAGCTGAACGATCGATTCGGCGAAAACGCAATCTTCGAATGACCCATTCGTTCGATCGAGAGATTATCGCGCGGCGATTTTATTATTGGCGTAAAAAATTGAGATAAGAATAGAATTTGAAGCGATGAACTGTGACGTACTTATTAAAATTACAATTGTATTAGTAAAAAGATTTAAAATGCAATGGGCGTTAGATTAAGGGGAATTAAAAAAAATTTATCGGAAAGACAAGAAGGATCGTAGATAAAGAATAGATAAAGAATAAGTGCTGTCGGCCGTTCTCGTTTGCGTTCTGTTTCGCTTTTTAAGACAAAGAGTTGATGATGACCTTCGAGTTGATTCGCGCGAGACGATCCACGCGATCGGGATTAAAACGAAACGGGACTTTGATCAACGGATGCTATTTTCTTTTGCAGCGTCCACGATTACTCTCGCCGCTTCGAGGGAGGATTGTTCGACGAGCTCTCAAAATAGGCGAAGGTACCGTCTCCCTGCGAAAAGGAGAAAAGGCGAATCGGAAGGAAGAAAAGTGTAGATATCCCGAAGGTCCATCGCGCGCTGTTTATTCTGGGAATCGAGCCGAGCGCCCGGGCGCCTCGATACTCCGTGCGTTTGCTTTTGAAGACGAAAGAAGGATTCTGCAAGGATCAGAAGGAACCGAAGGAAAACAACGTGCGCGACGATACAGGAAAAGAGAAATGTACCGAGAGCCGAGTAGTTCGTCGGGCAGCGGTGCCTCCACTAAGGGCGACGAAGTCGAGCTTGTCAGTAGATTCCTGGCGCCGCTCTGTGCCAGAGACGAAACGGCGAGGAATATCGCCCTGGCCGCAGCCAGGACCACCGTCGAAGGATGGCTGGGCGGCGTCGGCAGTCCAAATCGCTGGGAAGACGCCGGCGACATCGAGGACACCAAGAGCGCGGCCGGGAAGTTCTCCAGCCAGGACGGAAGGTAAGTGTTTCGCCTATCACTAAAATAAAAATGTTCTTTATGAAAATATTGCTTATTTTAGGTAAAATTATGTTTTGAATTTATGCAAATGAGTAATAATTGGACTATTTTCTATTTATTTTTTATTTGATCTATTTATAAAAAAATCTTATATTTTTGTTTATTGATAATTATGTTTATAATTATAGAATAGATATTTTATGATTATAGAATAGATTGTGATAGAATAGATTGCGGTATTTTAATAATGATTATGTAAATTGATCCCTAACTTTGAAATTGTATAAATACTCGCTGTTGCATGCCTTTACCCATTTGTTAAATATTTGGATTTAATTGATATGTTGTAATAAATTCGATCATTCCATTTTCTACTTTGTTGAATAAATATGGACATGTCTCTAAAGAGCATTAAAATTATACAATTTGTTGAATAAGCTTGTTTACTGGTATCAATTACTTGGGCCATTGATTAACAATTAATCAATTAACGGTTATCAAATAACAAATAATGTATGCGGTACACTGTGTAATAAATACGTTCTAAAATAATCTCGCTTTGCGTATCATAATTTCGATCGAGCAGACATATTTAATTGGAGCAAACATTTTGTTCCATGCTCTCTCTCGGCAAATTATTGGAATTTGATATCAGCATTCAGTCACGCAAACACGTAAAACCCAATGTGAACGCAGTATTTAAATAATCACAGGTTCATTAAAATGTGCACGTTATGAGGATTAATAATAAACACGGAGAGATATTATATTCATTTAAACGTGACTGTAAGGACCGAATGTTGCGGTGATTTCCTGCATCTCGCTTTTTTACTATGAAATTTGCACAGTGTTTGCTTCCGTTCCAGCTTGCTGAAATCACACAGAGCACTTCTCGCAAAACAATTTTAACTCTCAAATAATCTTAAGAGAAAGTTGAGATAATAGCTTTTATAATACTAGAAAGGCTAGATATTGAAAATTGATGTAAAAAATTAAAACGATTATATTGAAAAAGTCCTGAACAAGGAACATATCTCGCGGCAAAAGAGAATGAGAACTACCGAGTATCAATCATAATAAATCTAGATAGTATAGACGATATTTAGCGATTTTTATGGAAGCAATAACTTATCTTTTCTATTCTTATGATTCATACTCATATTTATCGAACGAGATTGTTTCTAATTATTTTAAAAAGATGATTGCTGCATTTTATTTATTATATAGAAAAAAAGCATTAGATTCAAAAAATTCATAAACTAGACACGTTTCCATGATCGATTTTTAATTGATAATATTCGTGTTTGGATGAAGATACGACATGAGCGTCGAACGATCACCGACGAGATCGTCACCAAGGAGCGTGCACCAGCAGCAGCTGTTGCACGACACGTTTCGGACGGAGGGCTTCTTTCCGCAGAGCATCAATGACAACCCGCCTCCGTTCCTTGAAGAGAACAACCCAGAATGCTCGTTCGATTGTGTGGATGGTCGTCTTTTGAATGAGAGGCGATTCCGCGAGCGATACGCCACCGGCGACGGCGTCGAGAGCTGCAGGTCCGGTCACTCGACGTCTTCGGATGAGGGTAGTAAGAGTTTTAATATCGAGGGTAGATGCCCGCGCTTTGGCTCGAACAGCGAAACATCCGAGAGGAAACATCCTGGCTCGTCGTCGAGTGACAGATCGACAAGCGACGACTACTGTCCTGGCAGGGCGAAGAATAATTATGTGAAAGTGAAGGGCGCCAAGCAGAAGCAGCTGGAGGACGATGAGCTAGACGCGGATACCCGGGTGTATGGCAAGAGTCCGAAGTTCGATGATAACCTGAGCGGCCTCGCGTCATTCGACTGTCGGAATCTCAGTCGTCGAGCCAAGATCGCCGCCGGCGGTGACCTGCTAACGCACGAACAGCGTCGTTACTACGACGGCGGCACCGACGACGACGTCTCCTTCAACGAGAGCGAAGCTGCGGCGCGCAGCGACGGGGTCGTCTTTAATACCCTTGACGGCTTCGAGAATGAGAACGAGCTTTCCTATCATCAGGACATGAACCTGGAAAACCACGAGGCAACGGTCTACGATGATATACCGGAGGATTCTCGCCGACCGCAGCAGGACTACTTGCGCAAAAATGATGAGAGGAAGTTCAGCGCCGGCCAAATCAAGAGGCCTCTCTCGCAGGACGAGGACGTGTCCTCAAAGAGTGGCCGGGTACTTGAGAGTCCAGAAGTGACACCCGGCGATGTCGGCAGGATGTTGAATCTTGGTAATGCTTTGGACGGACCCAGGCAGGCGCAAGCTAACAAGTATCTCAGTCTAGTGACGTTGCATTTGCCAGTAATACTCAGGCTCAGCGTTAACTGTCCCTTCCAGAACGTCAGGATCAAGTGCGCGGAGATCCTCCAGATGGTCAAGGTAAGAGAAAATTATTCCGGATTTATTTCGGAATCTTTTGGATTTGGCCGATGTGCCAAGTAATATGCGTCTTTCGCGGATAAATCTATTTTAATAAATCTATTTAACATTAATTGGCAAATATCTGAAATTAGATTTCAAGGTTTCAGCTATTTTATGTAATATTATGTTATGTTTCGAAATATAATAATTCTTATTATATTTTCAATATATGGAAGTTAAGTGAAAAATAATTGTTTTTTTTTTTTTTATTTAATTTTATCCTTGAATTTCCAAATTAATATTAGCCTCTAATTAGTTTAATTGCTTTTGCAAAGAAAATTTTATTCTTTATCATGTTGATCCTCTAAGTTTTTAAGAGGTTCAGCAAAGGAAGTTGCAAATAAAAAAGACAGCTTATCATTATTGTCTGTGATTATCTGCCTATATAGACTCTGACGGGAATTAAATACCGCGTTGTGTGTCTTGAGTCAGAGCATATAGAGACATTCTGACATTCCGGAAGAGAAAAAAAATCTTTGCGAAACGACCGATGCGAGAGATAACGGATAGCCTAGATGCGGTGACAGTCATGCAAAGTTTCGCTCGCAAAATCTTGAGAGAGAGCAGACGTTAGCACAGTTGCGAAGTTTACACTCTCGCGTGCACTCGGCCGAAATTCTTCCGTAACGATTCCACTAAAGTTTGCATTCACTCAAACATTCCTTGTTGAGTATCCACGTGCTTGAAGTTTATTAGGCAACATGAGGCAAAGTTGAAAACGTTATGGTCGGCAAGCACAAAGAGCATACCGACGCGTACATACAGCACATCTCGAAAATCACAAACTGCCTATTTTTATGAAAATAAAAAAGAAACGTGAAAGAAAATTACTGTTGCAGTTTCTATGGCAGACATAAACTAGTACAAGACTCTTTGTTATTTATTGCTTATTTATTTCTGCAAATTAATTTCAAATTAAGAGATTCGATTATACGATCTATTCTTATTTAAATCTTAGAAAAATTATAGTCTTTTTAATCCCCAGAAAAATTCAATTCTTTTTCTTCCTTATTATCAATTTTAACTTTTGTTAAAATTGAAAATAAAAAGAAGACTTACGAGGATTATTGATGTAATTCTGGAGCAATTGCCATTTTCTTCAGCTTGAGATTCCAGTATTCGTGACTCGGGGAAGAGGTGCAATAATTCTGAGATACGCTGTATACATTCCGCGGCGGAATTGAGATTGTCCAGAATATTTCAAGCTTTATCTCTCCAGCTTTGCGGCAATTTATCCGAGTCCTTCGCGAAGAGTAACTGCCGAGCGCGATTCTTACGCTACTATGACTTTGTATCTTCGCTTTTAATGCGTTGCTACTTTATAGTCCGCTTAATAAATAAACTACCTATGAGATTCACATTACAGAGTCTAATAGGAACAATTTATATATTTTTTTACAATCGAAAGTAGTCACTAATTAAATTTTTTAACAAAATTTTATTTCTTTGTAGAAATAATTGATATCTTTTTATATTTTGATTTTTTTTTTCTTATTGCACTTCTCGAAAATTTTTAACTAACTTTAGAATTTGAATAGGAATTGATGACTACACGAAATGATCATTTTAACTTAAGTTCGAAAATGAATGCGTGGGAATAATTCGACGAAGAATATGCTTATGCATAAAAGATAAACCAGAGTCGGCTATATATTAATGGACTTGTTTTGACTGGCTATTTGGGGAAGCGTTTGAACTGCAGCCTAAAAATATCCTGTACCTAGGCAGTTCGCGTTTAAAGCAACTTTGGCCTATCGTGAAGTTGTTCTTTCAGTCTCTCCAAATTCTGTGCCGGTCATTAATTTTATGCTCGCAGTTAATCTTTTTGAAACAATTATCATGACGTATTGGACTAATTTATGTTATTGAAGGATATATCTCATACTGTAATATAATTTTGCATATTGGTTCGTATAAAAAATAAATAAATCTCGTAATGTATTGTAAATAAGTGAGCGAAACAAATATATAGACAGTTAAGACGGTGTAAAATAGAAGAGTTTTAAAAAATTTGGTTTCATTTCCGGTTGGTAACTTTATATTACTTTAGTGTCACTTTTTTTCTCGGGCTTTTTATGCTCGCAAGGACATTACTCGCAAAGTAATATACTCGTTCGTCTCTAATAGCAGGATGAAAGCAGATCGTAAAAATAATCGACTATCTTTGAATTCTCAAGATCAGTATCATATCTCTTTGTTGTTTTTTATATTAATTTCAGAAACAATATATTGTTATAAATCATCATGATCAATTTTTAGAATGATAAAAGTATGAAAAGAGAAAATTAAAAATATACATATTTTTTTATATAAAATAATTATTAATATAAAATATTAATAATTAGTATTACTTTTACTATTAGTATTAATTTTAATAATTAGTTTCAGTAGTTTTATTTTATACGCGTATATTACTTATAAAGGCATTCATAATTCTATTTATTATCTTATCATTTATTTTTTTTAATAATAATAAGTAGCATAACCGCGACTTATGTTCCAAATTATACAAATTATTTCTCATATAAATTATATTTAATAAAAAGTACGAGAGCAAATATAGGACACATAGAAAAATTAACAAAATGTCAATTTAAATATGGATATTTTATTCTCTAATAACGAGACAAAAAACGTAATTTTGCACACGTAGACGCGAATGGAATCTGTCGTTCTGTTCACCGATATTGTCATACTCGAGGTCGATCGATACAACTTGTGTGTAAAGCTTTATACATAGAGTAGAACGATTTTCAGTCACAAAGCCGACAGAAAGCCAGGAAAAGAGAAAAAGAGGCTTTACGTGCAACGCATCGCGACACCGATAATCGCGTGTAATTTGCGAAATATCTCTAATTATCCTACCTCTCCGTACGATCGAACATTTGTCAAGACAAAAATATTCTCTCTAACGTAGAAAATAAAATGCAATATTTGTATATGAAATTGTAATGTGATAATTGTAGTATGATAATTTTATTAATGAATGAACATTTTCTAAAAACGATATTTGTTTTCCTATAAAATATTAACGATTATAATTAATTATTTTATAATGAAGATCTGATATTATCAGTTATAATATAAATTGAAGCAATTATTTCATGATCATTCAGCGGCCATTTATTATTGATTCTCTTAGTCCTTTATCTCTGACTGAAAATTAATTATGTTTAAAAAGGGGTTTATATCTTTATTCATCATCATATTCGGAAATGTAAAAGATAAAAATCAGACTTTTATACATCTGAAAAATTGGATATTTCATCATGTTGTTGTGTATTTATTATATTTTTTTGTTGTAACAAAATTTTATCATTTTCGTTTTTAATTGCAATAAAAATTCTATTTAGAAATATAATATTCATAAAAATTACTAGATAATTTTATTATAAATCAAAGAAGCGTAAAAAATTCGCCCAACGTGGGGCTCGACCCTGAGATTAAGAGTCTCATGCTCTACCGACTGAGCTAGCCGGGCTGTTAGAAGATTTTTCCCTCTCGCATATTTTCCTGACATTAGGATTAAATACAGTACAAATAAAATGTTGCTTCTTTTTCTTTTATAGGACAGAGGACTTCCAGTACCAGTACCGGCTTTTGATGGACCTAGTGCCTTCGTCCCTCTCTCAGAGGTAAGTACTTTTTACATGCGTCGATTGCTTTTGTAAATTAATATGCTTGTATTTACGATTGTTCCAATGAACGTTAATTGAACTTAATCTGTTCTTCTGTTTCTTTCAGTCGTACTCTCAAAAAGAATTAAAAATTTAAATTGTGATTAGCATTAATTGATATTTATGCGGTTTTAATGAGACTTTGCGGTTTCGGTGCGTTAAATAACTTTGTCGTTGACACAACATTATTTTATGTGTAAATTGTAACAAAATGCCGCATATACAAAGCGGTAAATATTTAAATAGAAGTAAATGTGTGTTAATATAATATAATAATATAATAATACGATGGTAAAAAATATTTAGAACATAATAAATCGTTTTA